CGCCAGGACACGCCCCCACCCCAACCGGTCCCGCCCCCAGAGCAGCCGCCCCGCAAGGACACGCCCCCACCCAGCCGGCCCCGCCCCTCGGAGCAGCCGCCCTACCACCAGGGTCACATGCTCTGCCCTCCCTTTTCGATAATGGGCTCGGGGCTCAGTCTGACCTCCCCTCAGCAGGGGCTCTGTAAAACCTTTGCTTCGAGGGAAATCGCCAGCTCCTCTCCAGCTTGGGAAGAAGGAAAGAAGTTAGTTTTAGGCACAACAAGGAAAACCCTGCAGACCTTGTCCCTGTCCTGTCGCACTGGGTGGTTTGGCTTCAAGGCAGACTGTGAGACTCTGTCTCCCCTCACCGCATTAGGTGAAGAGTTTTACAGAAACCCGGGGCAAATCCATTAGTTAGCTGGAGATTTACATGGCTCACACCCCGGTAAATGCCCATCCCAAAAGGCAGTGCATGTTTCACAGAGCAGCATGTGGGACAACGCTTACCCCAGGTGGATTCTAGCAACCCATTGCACCGGGAGTCACGCGGAGATTTGCTAGTTATTCTGGGCCCACTCTGACCAGCAGGGTCTTCCTTTAGATCTTGACAGCGAAGCATCTCTGTCCTGTGTCCCCTCTGAGTTTTCCTTTTATAAACAACCTTCTTGATTGGTTGCCTGCCACATACTGTCAGCACTATGGTCCCACGTTTGCTATGGAGCTGTTGGTGTGGTCACTCTTGCTGTCTTCCCCAGTGCCACCGGGTCCTGTTCTTGGATAACTCAGGTACTGTCTGGTCAGTGTCATCTGTCCTCGTTGATGGTGAGCAGGCACGTAGAGATGAGGCCTGGGAGTAATTGCCCCAGATGCTTCTATAAAGCCACAGTTGTTAAGTCTTTCTAGCCTTTGAGAGTTTGATGGAGTCTGTAGACCATGGGTTGGCAAACTATGGCCCTCAGGTCATATCCAGCCCACTGCCTAGTTTTGTAAATAAAGCTTTATTGGCAAACAGCCATGCCCGTTCTTGCATTTTTATATTGTCTGTGGCTGTTTTCTTGCTAAAACAGCAAAGTTCAGCAGTTATAGACTATGGACCTCAAAGCCCAAATATTCACTGTCTGGCCCTCTACAGAGTAAGTTTTCCACAGTGTTTGGCCATGATTTCAGAGGATCACAGGAACCATCCCCTCCCTCATTCCACTCTAGATGCTTCTGCTGGTGTGAAACTCAGCACTGACAGCAGACCCTAGTGCAGGCTCTGGCTCCACGCTCTGTTTCTGAAGGTTCCTCCCCTGCTCAGTTTCCAGAAAATCACCCTGCCCGTCACAAGGACAGGGTCCCTTTGTCTCCGGTGTCAGGGCAGAGCAGGCGGGGAGCTTAGACACCACGTTTGCTGGGGCGGGCGATGGGCGGGTGATGGCCGAGCCCCTGGCAGCTGCCTTTCTCTAGGAGCTGTGGCTCCCGGCAGGTCACCTTTTGGAGGCAGTAAAGGCAACAGTGGTCAGTGCCTGTCCTTGCTCTTTCTCCTTCTCCTTAGCCACGGGTTGCTGTGCTCCCTGCATGGGCTGCCTTTTCCTTTCCCACTCTCGGATCTCTACTGGGACACCACTGCCCCTGCAGCCCCCATGTGACGAAGGCGGGGCTACTCCTGGTTGTTCCTTACCTCCCCTGTCACTTGGGGGAGCCTTGGGGCAGGGTCTCTGTTAGTCCTTGTGCCGTATGGGCCTCACCTGTGGTAGATGCCTGACACATACCTGCTGGGGGGCAGGAGGTGTCATTCCCTATACCTGCATTGCACAGGCTTTGGATGGGGTCACCGAGGGAGGGTAGAGATGGATTTGCTGTGACCACTCCTGACCTGGTCCTAGAAAGGGGGGTCCCATGTGTCCGCTCTGCATTTGGAACCCAGACCTTCATATTTGGGCCTCAGGTGGCTGGGCTGGGGGCACAGTCGCCCTCTGGCCTCTCTTAGCATGCACCCCTCATTGCAGCTCTCTGCCTGCCCAACCAATTCCGGTGTGCCAGTGGCCAGTGCGTCCTCATCAAGCAGCAGTGCGACTCCTTCCCTGACTGCATAGATGGCTCCGACGAGCTCATGTGTGGTGAGATGGCTTCTGTCCAGGAGCGCAGGGCCTGGAGGGAGGAAATGCACATTCTGAGTGGGGCTGGGCTTGTGCAGGGACTGAGGTGGCTGGGAGGAGGCAGTGGCCAGGAGGGGAGCCTGCAAACTGTGGTGGGGATGCAGGGCTTGCAGGGACAGAGGTGCAGAGGCTGTGCCGAGTGCTGAGCATCACGCTTCAGGTTTCCGTGAGGACCTCACTCAGCAGCATGTACCATGCACCACCAAGGTTACTCCTGAAGGTGGGGTGGGTTACTCCTGGTAGCCTGCTGTGCAGCTGAGAACAAGTGATGTGTGCGCATGCATACATGCTTGTGCACACACACACACACACACACACACACATCCTATATGCCCTTCAGGTGACATGGCTTGTATGGTCAGGGATACGGGGACTAGAGGATGGGTGGCCGGGGCAGTCAGAGAAGGTCTCCTGGAGGCTGTGGCTTTTGAAAGGCTGATTCAAACAGGAGGGAGCTGGAATTACAGAAAGTAGGAATGTCTTGATGTGCCAGAGGACATGGCCACTGTGCTTACTGCAAAGGGACCTGGGCTGAGAGCTCTTACTGCAGGAGAGAGAGAAGTCTGAGGGGAACAAGGTTTCCCCAAGGGACCCACTGAGCTCTTTTGCACCTTCACACCAGCCCAGGTCAGGCACCTTGGGCACCTTCTCAGGACAGTGGCCTGGGGACAGATGGCCCCAGTGGGAGCCTCCAGAGCCCCCCACTCCTCTGCAGGGCAGGTTTCCAGGCCAGTGGGGTCTGTGCTTGTGGGCTCCAGCGTGTGGGGGGTGATGTTTATCCACGGCCAGGCCTTGGCACCATGGCCAGCAGTTTTCCTCCCATTCCTCTGGGTTTTTGGTTGGTGGGAGGGGACTTGGTTGACTGCTCTCAGGGTCGTTGGGCCAACCTGAGGGGAAAGTGAATGTGCTTGTGTCAAAGTTGAGTCTGGAGTCTGGACTTGCCCTCCATGCTCTGGGTGGCCTTGATAGTGGAACACCTGTGGCGTGGTGGGCAGCTCCTCACACCTGGCTCCAGTGCCTCCTGGCTGAGCTCTTTTACATGCATGACACACAGAGTAATACGGGAGCACTCACTTCCAGCCACCACCAAGAGCACTGGGACAGAGGGGGTGTGTATATGAGGCTGCTTTGGCCGAGATGCGCTGAGGGGCTATGGGATGTAGGACAGGGGTCAGTCAGGCCGAGGAGGAGCAGGTGGGCGCTCCAAGCCAGCTGAGCTTCCCAGGCCCGACACTCCAGCCTCCTCTTCCTCCTCTCCATCAGTGGGTCGGGGGCCCGGGCAGAACCAGCCCCTCCATGGCACACGGTGTCTGCCCATCCCCTCCCCCCCACAGGAAGGCCCATGCCTTTGGGGTTATAACGTTGAACATCTTTTCCTGTCTGTCCTTTGGCAGAAATCACCAAGCCGCCCTCTGATGACACTCCAGCTCACAGCAGCGCCATTGGGCCTGTCATCGGCATCATCCTCTCACTCTTTGTCATGGGCGGGGTCTATTTTGTTTGCCAGCGTGTGGTGTGCCAGCGCTACGCAGGGGCCAATGGGCCCTTCCCGCATGAGTACGTCAGTGGGACCCCCCACGTGCCCCTCAATTTTATAGCCCCAGGTGGCTCACAGCATGGTCCCTTCACAGGTAAGGAGCCCGAGACATACAGGGTCCCTGGCGGAAGTGGGGACAGGGTGGTCTGGGCAGGATGTGGGGGAAGTGGGTCAGGGGTGTGGGTGCCAGTCCCCGTTCATGCACATGGCAGACATTGCTAATCAATCATGGCAGTCAGGCTCTCCTGCTGAGCCTATGACTGGCATCAGAATCCTTCAACACAAAGGCCTGCATGGCTGCAACTGCCCTTTGGCATTGGAGGTGTAGGTGAAACTCCCTGGACTTGACCATCAGAATTCTTGTGGGATGTGTGCTGAGTCGTCCTCATATTCTCATGTCTCTCAGAATAGGATGGGGGTGGGTGTAGCTGGGCTCTTTTTAGAGCCAAAAGAGTCATTCTGTACAATAAGCAGCTTTGTCCTGCGTGCAGCTTGGACCTGTGGCTGAGCACGATTACAATTTCTATGTGGCATGGCCACCAGGAACACAGGTTGTGCTTGTGGGTGCTGGAACCCCACTCCAAGGCTGCACCATGTGTGTTCATATCACATCAGTGGTCATGGTGTGTCCAAGAAGGTGGGGTCAGTGGTGTTGAGCTCTGTGGGGGTCGCCATGGTGTCTGAAGGTGTCCCTATAGCTCCAGGGCCACCTTGGGCTCTGTCCCTGCCTGGTCAGTCCTGGATACCCTCTCTCCTGTCCTGTCCCACCCCCACTCCATGCCAGCCAGCCTTATTGGGACCCCGCCATCTGGGTGCAGATGTGACCTGATTCTCCCTGGGGCAGTGGGGTCTTCAGGGGTTTCTCAAGAGTTCCTGGAAGCCCGTGGTGGTAGCTTCATCACCTCCACAGCAACCCCCAGAGAAGAGGGCCCTCTCTGTGCCGGGTTAGCTCTGAGATGAGCCCCTACTGAATACCCCTCCCTGGCCAGTGTGACCCTTGTTTTACAGATGAGCCTCAGAGAGCCCACACTGCTAGCACTGGTGGTGGCCAGAGAGCCCAGTGGGAGGCTGGGACAGGACTCAGGACTTACCCACCTGAATCTGGACCTCATGGGCAGTGGGGGCCGAGGAGGGTGCGTTGTATCCGTGGGCGGCCCCCTGGAGCAGCTCAGCGCCCTGACCCGCCTGTCCTCTCTCCCGGGCAGGCATCTCATGCGGCAAGTCCATGATGAGCTCCGTAAGCCTGATGGGGGGCCGGGGCGCGGTGCCCCTCTATGACCGCAACCACGTCACTGGGGCCTCCTCCAGCAGCTCATCCAGCACGAAGGCCACACTGTACCCACCGGTGAGTGGAGGCAGGAGGGACCTGGGAAGGCTGGGGTGTGGCTGGCCGGTTCTGCCTCTTGGTGCCTGCCAGGGAGACTTCTGGGACTGTGGGATTTCTAGAATTAGTAACTGCTCCGCTGCCTTAGAATGGTGGGTGTGAGCTTTCCTCCCTCTCTGAACCTTTTCATTTTTTTCTTTGACGACATTGTTTTTCTGTTTAGAAAAGGATAATCCTTGTTTGTCATGAATAATCTGGAAAACCACATCAAAATATAAGGAGCTGAAATCTCACGCATAATCATGCCTCCTAGGATTACTGTTGGGGCCATTTCCATGGCCTGGTGGCAGTCTTTGTTCTGTGTGGCCCACCCTGTCGATGGCTGCCTGTGCTGGGCCTGTCTGGCCTGCGTGAATTTCCCCCAGCATCCCTGCCAGGAACACCCTATTTTTCCCACCCCAGACCTTGCTGATTCCCGAAAAATATCTGGATTGTTCTCCAAAGGATGGACAAACGGGGTGATTTTTGTGGCTAAAATACTCTCTGGAGTGCGAATGGGGTGAGAGAGTGGCTCCAGCCAGGCCAAGCCCCAAGGCCTGCCGGGTCCCTGCGAGGGGCCCCCTCCCGAGGCCGGCTGGGGAGAGCCCTGCTTCTGAGAGCAGGGATGTGAGTTGTGTATATGTAAACGTTGGGGTCTGACTTAACACGCCTTGTATGTTCTTTCCTTCTTCCAAAGCCCAATTTCCTGCAGCTGTGTGCTCTTCTAAGATGAGGACGGCCCCTCGAGCTGTTTCCGGGTCTCCCCAGTGAGCCCCACCTTGCCAGGGCTGGCCGTTCCCGCCCTTCTGGGTGTCCCTCACATCTGGGGCCTTGTCTTCTTATTGCACCTGCCCTGGCTGGCCCTGGGAGGGAGGCGGCAGAAGAGGGTGTTATCTCTGGGTTGCAGCACAGGAACTGACTCTTCTGGAGGCTCCAGGGCCTGATGGTGTTTAGGAGCCATGGGAGTGAGGGCCCCGGAGCCTGGAGTTTAGAATACTCCCCACCGTTGTTCTCTACTCTCGGAGGCCCCCCGTGAGCAGCTGGCAGCACGGGACCCCGTGTAGGGCCTGGCTTTCTCCAGGGGCAGCTCGCTTCCCCTGCAGTGCTACATAGGAGGCTCAGGAAACTGGCTTCATTTTCCTCAGGCTCTGTTGGGAGCAGAGGGATCTTATTAGGCAGCGAGAGATGACACTGAGCAGCCAGCTGGGTTTAAAAATACTTGGTTGTTTAACCATAGTCACCCCACTTAGCTTGTACAATTCAGTGGGTTTTAGCGTATCCACAGATAAGTGCAGCCATCGCCATGATTAATTTTAGAACATTTTCATCACCCTTAAAGTCTGTATGGAACCAGCTGTTTTTAAATTGACGAAATTATTTTGCATCAGTCATACGTGTTCATGATACAAAATTCAAAAGGCACAGCCGAATACACAGTCAGAAGAGGCCCCCTGAAGGCACGTCCTGTGGCAGGTTTTTTTTGTGTCCTCCCCGGGGCGATCTGTACTTATGTAAGTAGACACGTGTATGGGCTTTGTTTTCCCAGCAAAGATTTATGCACAGTTGTAAGAAATTATCCAGGGAGATCCACCCACCCTCCTCCCGGTCTCCCCCAGTGGTGACATCTTGCCTGACCGCAGTAGAATATCACAGTCAGATGTGAACCTTTGACCCTGTTCAGATTTTACCAGTTTTACACACATACCTTTGAAAACCCAGATGATAGCACCTGAAGAGTTGGCGGTGAGCCTGGCCTTTATTAACGACATGTCAAAGCTGGCGTTGCAGAGCGCTCCCTGGGCTCCCGGCTGTCGTGCATGCCCGACCTAGAGCCCCACATTGACCTGTCGCCAGGAGGCGGCGTCTTCCTTACTCACGCTTTGCAAAGTGGCGGTCAAGGAGCTGAATAGTGACCCCAGTCTGAGTCATCCTACCCACGGACAGTTGAGCCGGGCTGTCCAACTCTCCACCATGCCGTCGTCGTCTTCTGTCACAGAGCTGTCACGTCCTCAGTGGCTGAACAGTGCCCTGTTAAACGGTATAGCCAGGGCCACACTGGCAGGTGTCAGAGTCCCTTCCGCCAGGGCTGACCCTCTGTTGACTGCTCTTGCCAAGTGTCCTTCCACTGGGGACAGTCTGTCTTCTTGCCAGCAGAGGGCCCCCCTGGCAAGGCTGTCCCTGTCAAACTTTCTCTCCAGCAGTCTCATGTAGGGTAAAAATGATGTCACGTTGAAATCTCACTTTTTATTTTACTATGAAGGATGCGGGCATCTTTGTGTGTGTTTACGAACCTCTGTAGTTTTATTTTCTTGGAAGGGTCTGTTCTTCTCCTTTTATACTGACTTGTTGATACTCTTCTTATTCATTTGTAAGATCCCTTCCAAAACTTCAGACAAAGGTGCATGTTATCTTTTAATTCTGTTTTTCCATGAACTCTTTGAAGTATCCTCGTATGAAGGAAATCAGCCCATTGCCTGGGAAATGTGTTGAAAATATTTGTTTCCCAGTTTTTTGCCTTTTGATTTGGGTTATGGTGTGTTTTGCCATTTACACAATGAAATTATCAATCTTTTCTTTTTTTTTTGGTGTCTGGCCAGTGTGGGGATCCGATCCCTTGATCTTTTATGTTGTCTGATATTTGTTTTGGTTATGTTCAGAAAGGCCTTCCCTACTCTGATCATTAACAAGTTTCTCTCCATGTTCTCAATGTCCTCACGCTGGGTTCTATTTAGATGTGATTAGATGTACAGATGAGGCAGGCGTCCAACTTCTTCCTCTACTGATGGACACAAGGTAACTCGTGTTCGTCGGGATCCTATCAGGACAGAGAAACAAGACGTGTTAATCGGGATAGAGAAAGTTCAGTATACAGGCTTATTAACGGGGGCTGGAATAAGGATTTGGCCAGTGAGAGGTAGAGAGAGCTCCTAGAATAGCAGATGGGCCGAGATGGAGCATCAAGAAAGAGCCTCTCGAGGGCCAAGATGCAGACCTCCTTGCAACGAGAGCGGGTAGCCTGGTTCACTGATGGCTGAGATGTTGCTGAGTTGCTGGACTGGCAGAACTTGCCAGAAATCTGCTCACTGCGTATTAGGAAAACCAGCTCACGGACTCCTTGCCTTGATGTCCCTAATGCCCTAGGGGTTAGGGGGTGCAACTTACACCCAGCAGAGGAGGGGATTTGAGCTGAATCCTGATGTCTGCCTTGGGAGGTGAAGGTGAAGAGAAAGCAGGTCCAGCCAAGTTCATGGAGATGTGGAGACAGAACCCTACAGGCCCGGCATACAGGCAGATACAGGAGGCTCTTTCTGCAGCTTCCCTGCCTGGTTTCTGCTCTGGAGACTCCCTCCTCCCGCTCAGTATCATGCCCTCCCAACTTTGGGGTGAATTCCCGAGGAATCCCAAGGCTGGCTACTTGGATTGAAAAGGACCCTCTCCAGAATAAGGGGCAGGGGCCCATGCCACTTCCTAAAGGGCAGGGGAAGGGCCTGGGCACTTGTTGTGGGTTACTTACCAGAACTGCCCTGTGAAGCAGGTCTTCTTGGCCCCATCTTTGAGATGGGGAAAGTGAGGCACAGAGAGGCGAAGTCCTCACCAGTGATCGTGCTGCAGCCGGGAGGTAATAAAACAGGACTTTACCCAGATCTGTTGAGCATGAAAGGCTGTGCCCTTTTTACCACCCTGGGGGTCAGGGAGAACTCAGCCCTTTGGGGCAGACAGCGACAGTCCCGTTCCCATTTCACTGCAGGAGCTCAGATCGGGCTGTGTTCTCTGCAGGGATGGCTGTGGGGGACCCACACAAGCCCTGCACACTTTGTGGTGGTTGGGTTTCTGCCAGTGGTAGTTACTGGGGAGGTGCAGACCTGGGTGGTGTTTGGGCCGCCTGTCTCTTTGTCCCTTTACACGCTGCCCAGCTCTGGAGGGTGCGTTCACCTGGTAGATTTGTCTCTTATCACAGTTTTGGGGCAAATGTCTGTACAGCCTCTTGAGAAAGGGATGCTTTTTCTGGCAGTGTGGTGACCCCTGTGCCATGGTCAGGGCTCAAGCAGGGAACAGCCAGGTGATTGTTAGGAATGAGGATGTTATAGAGGAGTTAGACTGTGTGCAATGGCAGGAGGAGGTGAGGAAGTAAAATGCAGGAGAGTTAGCGGGAAGTCCTGGAGAAACCCGGTGAGGTATTTCCTGGTGTAGGTGGACCCTCCAGGGCCTGCAGGGACACCTCTGCTGCTGAGGGGATGGTACAAAAGGGTTGGTGCGGGTGTCGGAGGACCTCATCGGAGTTCCACCTCTGCGTTCGCAGCTGAGTTGCTGGCTGTGGGCCTGGGTCACTGCTGGTCGGCGGGGCGGGTGCTTGGAAGGGGTGAGGGCACCTCTCACCACGACCACCTTTGTGGCACATGGCTGCCGCCTCTCCTCTGCTTTCCAAGTCTCGCCAACCCTGACCAGAACCGAACAGAGGAGGGGGTCCTGGGAAGCATAGAGCTGGCTTAGCTGAGCTGGCCCAGGACAGAACCCCTCACCCCCCTGCCCAAGAAAACCCAAGGCAGGCGGCAGCACAGCTTGGGGGGGCCCAGAGTAACCCTGGCTTGGTCTTCTCAGATCCTGAACCCGCCACCGTCCCCTGCCACGGACCCCTCCCTGTACAACATGGACATGTTCTACTCTCCAAACATTCCGGCCACTGCCAGACCGTACAGGTAGGAAGTCCCCGCACAGCCCTGCATGTGTTGAGGCCATGTGGCGTCCAGGCAGGCCTGTAGGAGGAGGGCCTTGTCTCGTTTCACAGGCGAGAGGTCCAGGGGGCTGGTGTGTGTGCGTCAGGCCTGGCCCTGCTCCCCTCGGCTCTGCCAGCCACACCATGGTTTGTTTCTAAACCAGCCAAATGGGTCTGCAGGTTGAGTTCAGAAGCCAACCGAACCCCACGTTCTGAGTGGGCTCTTCAGGGACACTTTGTAAGCTGGGCCATGGGCCTCAAACGCTGCCATTGTGGGTGTTCCCACCCCACCCACCATCCCACTACAGGGGAGGCCTGCGCACGGGGACCATGTGTTTGAATCCAGCTGTGGGACTCTAGCTGTGATGCCACTTCTTGGAGCCTCAGTCCTCATAAGGATCGGACACATATGTGAAGGCTGGTGTGCCGCCTGGCCCACAGGGCACCCTGATATGTGGACTGTCATTAGGATGAATCTTGCCCCTTACTCTTAACAATGGCCTATTTCGTTTTTGAGCCTGGGAAACCCACAGTCCTGCTCAGCCCAACCCAATCCCCAAGTTGCCCACACTGGAGTCACAGGCCCCACCTCCCTGGTGAGGAGGGGGCACTTGAGAATGAATGTTGAGGAGAAGCAGGGTCTGTGTGCTGGTCTCTGTCTGGGGGCCGTCAGAGCCTGGGGTGGGCAGGGGTGAGCCTCCTGACCTTTAACCCAGTGGACTCAGCCAACAGGGCCTCACCTGATGGGGTATGTGGGGTGGGCCTGGGCCAGGCCTGCATAGAGGCCAGGGTTTTGGCATGCCTGCAGACTGTGTGTCCTCACTGCTGGGGTCCCTGGAACAGCAGGGCCTCCTGAGTGTGGCACCACCTGCCATCTAGTGGCCATTTCTGGGAACTCCTGGGCCAGAAATCAGCCTCTGGGGCCTGGCAGGGGAGCTGGGAACTGCAGCTTCTGGCAGAGACCACCTGTTTCCAGACCCCTCTTATAGGTCACTGCCCAGCTTAAGGACCTGTTGTGGCTCCCTAGTACCTTGGCATCACGTTCAGCCACCACTGTCCCCAGAGTTGTCACAGTCTCCCATCCCTCCTCGTGCCTTTGCTCACGCCTCCTGCTCTGGGCCCCACCTCCGAGACATACTCCCTCCCCTCCACCTGACCTGCAGCAACCAGGGTCCTCCTGCTGCACTTGTCTCAGCACCAAGCGCCCCCGGGTGTTGGCTTCACCTTCCTGCCCACTGTGAGCCCCGCCACGAGGCCTGATGCAGGATTTCTGGGCCACGGCTGGGTGCAGGCAGCCTCTGGGAGGTGATGAGACATCTTTGGAGTCAGGTTGCTTTAGCCCAAGATGGGACCATTCTAGGCCCATTGGTCTCCAACATTTACAGTAATGATATTGTGGCAAATGGATGTCAAGCATTTCCTTTTATCAGGCACTGGTTCTAGCACTTTGCATGCAGAATCTCATTTAATATTCACAAGCCCCCCCCCTTTGTTTTATTTGATGGCTGGCCAGTATGGGGATCTGAACCCTTGACCTTGGTGTTATAACACCACGCTCCAACCAAGTAAGCCAACTGGCCAGCCTAAGCCTCTTTGAAATGGATACTTTTTCATCCCCCACCTTTTTATCACTGAGAAACTGAAGCTCAGAGGCGTTAAGTTACAGTCCAGGGTCAGCCAGGCAGGCACTGGAGGCCTCGTTTTCTACAGAGGCAACCTTGCCAGGGCCTGGGCTTGGCAGCCCTTCAGCGATGTGCAGGTGTGCCCACTTTAGAGGTGGGGATGTTTAGGCTCAGAGAGGGTAAGTGATATGCCCAGGCCACACAGCTAGGGTGGATCCTGAGCCATGCCTGCCTCTACAAGAGCTCATGCTTGCAAATGCCCTTCCTTGAGGCTCAAGGGCCTATGTGCCCGCTGGGGCAGACATGCCTGTGGACCCTGACCCGAGGTTCTGCACTTCCTCTCTGTCTCTTTCAGGCCCTACATCATTCGTGGCATGGCGCCCCCGACAACGCCCTGCAGCACGGACGTGTGTGACAGCGACTACAGTGCTAGCCGCTGGAAGGCCAGCAAGTACTACCTGGATTTGAACTCAGACTCAGACCCCTACCCGCCCCCACCCACGCCGCACAGCCAGTACCTGTCGGCGGAGGACAGCTGCCCACCTTCGCCCGCCACCGAGAGGAGCTACTTCCACCTATTCCCGCCACCCCCGTCCCCCTGCACGGACTCGTCCTGACCTCGGCTGGGCCACCCCGTGTCTCTGCACCCTTGTAAATAGTTTTAAATATGAACAAAGAAAAAATATATTTTATGATTTAAAAAATAAATATAATTGGGATTTTAAAAACGTGAGAAATGTGAACAGTGATGGGGGTGGGCATGGCTGGGAAAACTTTGTACAGTGGAGAAATATTTATAAACTTAATTTTTTTTAAAACATAACTGCCATTCTTTCGTGCCCTGTGTGTGTCGGAGTTGCATGTCCCCATGGAGTGAGCGTCCAGCTCCAGATGGCTGTCAGAGTTGCATGCTTGTCCTGCGTGTAGGTGTTCTGCGGTCAAGTTCCACGAGGAAATGACATCAGGCAAAAGCTGCCATCTTACCCGGAAGGCATCCCTGACCCTGAAGGCAGGGCTGACTTCACGGATGTGTGACCCACGCAGTCCTGAAGGGCCCATGTTAGGTTTCAAGCTCTGTGGTTGCTGTCCTCAGATTCTTAATAATTTCTTTTTTTTTTTTTCCCTTTTTGTCTTTTATCGTGACCGGCAACGGATCGCAACCCTCAGTGTCGCGCCCGTACCGGACCAGGACCGGCAACGGGATCGCAAACCTCGGTGTTGCGCCTGCACCTCGCTCAGCCAGTGAGCGGCCGGTCTGTATGTGGGATCCGAACCCTCGGCGGGAGTGCCGCCGTGCTCTCAAGCGGCGCACTGTAGCAGTGCGCCACCGGGCCGGCCCTTCTTAATAATTTCTGAGAAAAAGTCCTTGCAATTCACTTACCCGGGCTTTGGGCTGTTCCCCAGCTGGCATTGGTTGCCGTCTGACCTGTGGGGTGCTGGCCCTCAGCTGCTGCCCATCTTGATGGCAGCCTCCAGCATCTGTGACCATCAGCAAGTGAAGCCTGAGGCCTGCTCGTGCCCATCCCAGGTGGTACTGCAGATGACAGGCAAGGAAGAGACTGGAGAAGTGATTTATCATGGTCTGTAGTGAGGAAGCTGGGCTCTTCTCCTGGTGCCCTGGAGGCTGGGCAGGAGCGACCGTCTTCAGAGGGGAGGGAGGAAATGCCTGTCTCATTAGCAGGAAGAGCCTGACCCCCACTACACTTCCTGCTGGATGCAGCTCCACTTGAGAATCACAACACGAAGATCTGCAAGAAGTGCCTGAGTGTCTCCTGGCCTCCCAACAGGAACCTGACATTGAACACTTGTCTAACCCCAAGGGGGCTGGAGATGCAGATGGAGGTGACAACAGCTGAACGAGGGGAGTCCTGTGCATGACCAACTTCTGGACAGCCTCCACAACCGGAGGACACCCAAACACTGGAATCCTGTGTGTGACTGCTCTGCCAGGGCAGATGGTGTGGGCACACAAGCTAGCTGGCACCTGGTTTCCTGGGACACACCTTCGGGGAGTCACCTCTCCTGCCCCTGACTGCCCAGGAGTCCCCAAGGTGAGGCTCTGCTTGGTAGTGATATAGACAGGCCAACTTGCTGCTGCTGCCACCACAGTCAGTGCTGGGTCAGAGAGCAGATGCTGGGGGACTCAAGGCCCCTTTGTGGACAGGGTTATTGGGATGTGCCTTGAAGGGCAGTGTCACCTCCAGTCGGCCTCATCCAACGGGCCCATCTGTTACTGAAAAGCGCTTGTCAGGATTCCACAAGAGATAGCCTGTGAGAAAGCCCTGCTTGTGGAGTGTCTGGCTAGTAGCAGGTCTGTGGCAAATGGAAGCCGTGACCTATTAAAGCTCACAGAGGTGATGGAGTAGCCCCCAAGGTCACACTGCTAAGACTGGCAGAGCTAAAGGAGTACCAGAGCTCCTAGGCCCAAAAGCTGGGTCTCCTGCCACCAGGCACATACCTGAGAAAGCAGCAGAGCCTTTGCTGACTCAGAAGCAACAGTGTCATGGGGGTTCCCCGAGAGCATCCTAGCTCCATTCTCCTGCCCAGCCAGCCATCCTATCTGACGGCCTGCCAGGGATCAGGCAAGTGGTGAGAAGGATTAGCCTGGGCTACTGACCCCTGGAGGCCTGAGGGGGCTGGGGGGAGGGCCGAGTCATCCTCTGCAGCCCTCCCCATCCCCCCAGCACCCTGATTGAGCCATTGCACGGTGCCTTGGATTGAGTGTGCTCCCAAAATTTGACCCCCACTGTGACAGTGTTGAGGGTGGAGAATCCTGTTATGGTAACTGAAAGGTAGAGCCTTGAAGAGATGATTAATTATAGGACCATGCAGTAATGAATGGATTAATAATGGTCAGGGGTGTGGTTCTAAGGGCTTTAAAAGGAGAGCACATGAGAAGTTAGTCTCTCTCCTCCATTTTCTGCCACGTGAGACCTGCACTGCTGTAAAGTCACCACTAAAAACCCTCTCCAGATGTGCTCCCTGGACTTTGGAATTCCCAGCCTCCAAAGCTGTAAGCAATGAATTTCGTTTTCTTATAAATCACCCAGTTTCAGGTAATTTTGTCATAAGCAACAAAACAGACTAATACACATGGCTAGGGGTGCCATCTGGTGGCCACAGGCCTCCCCGCTGGACCTCTTCCTGCCCACACAGTCAGCTAGGGGGAGTGAGGTGCCAATCCACTGGCTGCCTACTATGTGCCAGTTAATCTGTCAGCCTTCAGTAAGCACCTGCTGCATGCAGAAGAACCTTGCACCTAAGTCACGTGCTGGGAGATCCAGAGACTAGTCTGATGTGGCCCCTTCCTTGCAGACACTCCAAGTCCCTGATATGGGGCAGTTTCCAAAGCTGTGGGGAAGACGCAGTGCTGAGATATATTGGAGCCCAGAGGCGGCTCTGTATTCAGATGGGAAGGCAGGGAGGGCTTCCTGGAGGAGCCGATGTCTGAGCTGTGTCTTAAATGAGGGAGTGAAGTTAACCTGGTTTATTTAAACTTCACGACAGCCCAGCTGGGTAGATGGTGTCCCTAATTTGTAGTTGAGGAAACTGAAGCTTGGGTAAAAAGAAGCAAAGCTAGAACTTTTTCCATTCAATTGTGCAATCATTTCTTTATCCAATAAATGGCTACCAGGTGCTACTCAATGTGCCACCTTCCCTCCAAACCCTGTCACCTCTGCGGTGATGGCCACTGCTCCATCTCTGTCACCCTTCACTGAGTCCTGCGGGGTCTCCCTTGTGTAATGGGCTCCTTCCCACTGACCCCATCAGAAGATGGCCCTTTGCTCAGCTCAGTCGTCCAACCCCTCATCCCAGGGTGGGTGTAGGAGTTGCCTGCCTGCCCTGTCTGCAGCCCCCTTGGGTCTAGAGCTGCCCTTAGGTACTGAGACAGCATCCACCCTGGGCAGCTCAACTGTGTTCATGTGGCCAGGTCTTGAACATTTCCACTGTCAGGCAGGCCACTGGGGAACCTGGGTGGGGCGATGTGGGATGTCTTATCTCCAAGAAGTCTGGGTGGTTGGGAAGTTGGGTGGTGACTGGATCCCACTTGGTTCCTGCAGGGTTCCTTCTCTTGACTATTCTGGCTCTTCACAGCACTGGGACCCTCTTGTTGGACCACACCCTCAGACCAGGGGGCGGGGGTCCCACCAAGGAACCCCCTTGCTGGCTCCTCCTCTCGCGGTCCTCTCCCAGACTCCCCGCCTCTAACTCCTCCTCTCCGCCCAGTGCCCTCTTCTCTTTTCTTTCCCCATGAGCTCAATGGAAGCCCTAGTCCTTAGCAGCCTAGCAGTTCCACTTCCTACCAGCAGTCAGGCCACTGACAGTCCTCTGTGGGAAGGGGAATACCTCCTCCCCAACCCGGCCCAAATCTTAGAAAAAGTTGGCCAGTTAGCTCGCGTGGTTAGAGGTGGTGCTTGTAACACCAAGCTCAAGGGTAAGGTCAAGGGTTTGGATTCCCATGCCAGCCAGCCACCAAATACATACATACATACATTCATACATACACACACACACACACACACACACACGTACATACATACATACATATCAAATCTTAATGCACTGAAGAGAAGGGAAATAGAAGAGTTAAGTTTCCATATCCCATAGAGCCCTCTATCTGTACTCTTCTCTCTAGCCTCAGCACCCCTTGACCTGACTCAGCATAAGCCTGGAGTCTGGGCTCCTGGGTGCCAGCCCAAGCCCTTCCAGAGCATGTCCTCTACCAGGGCAGCCCCACTCCAGCCCACGAATCAGTGCCAGCCTGGGATGGACATCACAAAAGGAACGACAACATGCCGGCTTTTCTTCAAGTTGAACTTATTCAACTTGAAGTCTTTATTCAGAGCTAGTCTTTCCTGAGTGCACGTGTGTTAAAATGTCCTATCTTTTATGTTTTTGTTATTGTTTTAAAATTGTTACTTGGTAGAATAAAAGTTTGGCAGCTCTATTTGGCAGTTCCCCCAATTTTAGGAGTAATAGCCGGGTGTCGGGTAGATGGGCATTCGTTATATGCTTCCCTCTACTTTCAAGTACGCTTGAAAATATTCATGTACATGTGTATTTTTTAAAAAAGTCAAGATGGATTGAAAAGTTAAACATTGAAAATAAAACCACAAAAGGATTAGGGAGAAATGGGAGAAAGAAGGTGGTGATCCGTGAAATCTAGAAATTTTAAGAGACGTTGGTCTTTGTAAAATGCAAAGCTTCCTAGTCATTCCCCTGCATAAAGCCTGTCAGTGGCTCCCTGTGGGTCTCAGGAGATGGGCTGACCTGGGCTAAGCACAGATACCTCCTCCTCTAGGCAGTCCTCCCTGACTTCAACCCTTTCCGTTAGGTTAGGAGTGCACCATAATTGGAGACCTTTGGGTCCTACTTACCTTGGGTGAGGTATTGTAGTATTTCATTTAATTGCAGTGCACATGGTCCTGTGACCCACCTCAGAAGTCTGGGCTGGAGGAGCCTGAAGCACACTCTGGCACATCCTTTGATGATGAATGAGTAAAGAGATGTATAGAACGGAGGGACAGATGGCAGGTCCTGGCTCTCCCTCCCCCCTCTGTCCCATGGCCCAGCCTCCCTCTCAAGCACCAATCCCAGTCCCTGGGCTCTAGGCAGCCTCTCCTGTGCTCTGCAGTCCTGTGCCTCTGATCCTGTGCTACGCCTACTACTTGCTGCTCTTGCTTTAATCGGTCCTTTCTAAAGTATGGGTAGTCCTGAACAGCAGTCTCCCTCCCGCCCAGAGCTTTCTCTAGCTCTCACTGTCTGAGCATAAACCCCAAGTTCCTTTGCCTGTCTTGCAAGGCCTCTGAGATTCCCTCCTGACCTGCTTCCCTTGTCTTTCCCCAGGCCTGTGATCACCTGCATTCTGTTTTCCACCCTGATGTGCTGCTGTAGTTTCCTCTCCCTGGCAAGACCACTCCCGCCCTACCCCAGATTATCTGCCTATATGTCCCCCTCCCAAGCCCTCGCACTAAGCACACTTCGCTAGCTGTGTGGCCTTGAGCAAGGCCTCTAGCCTCTCTGTGCAGCAGAATCATTGTAATACCTGTCTTTGTTTGCTGGCCTCCTCAAGGCCCAGCATGCTTTAGGGCGTGAACATGGCATAGTAGATATTATCATCTGCACTGTACAGATACTCACTAGAGAGTCAGAGAGGTTAGATCATCCAGCCAAGGTCACCCAGTCAATATGGGCTGTACCTTGTGCCCGAATGTTTTCTAGGCCTCAGTTAAGTAATCTAAAATGGGGATGATATGCTGTTCTGGAGTTACCAGAAATGCATTCCTTCTAAAGGGTCTGCCTCCAGCCATAGTGTCTGCTGAAAGGGTGGCCTGGGGGCAGAGGAATGTTTGCAAGCCCAGAATTCCAGCTCCCCAGGCCCTGGGGTTGACCCAACCCAAACTGGCACTATTAGAATTGGGGCTCAGAGAGCCCGAATCAGTGAGGTAGAGAGAGCTTAGACCACTTGGGTGCTCATGCAAAGGGTGGGGGTGGAGGTGTAGAGATGCTGAGCATTGGGAAGGCAGCCAGGTGCCCAACTGTCCTGCCCTCCTCCCACCCCCAGGGGCTAAGCTCTGCTGCTTTTCCTAGGGGCCTGGACTCCCAGAGGCAGCCTGGGGAAGCCACACAGTAATCATGCTGTGCCCTCTTAGAGCTGGAGTGGCCATTCTGAACAAGCCAGCACCCCTGGAGCCAGCTGCCAGACCTACTGGGAGAGACCTCACAGCCTCCCTGCATGGAGCTCCCATTAGGACTACAAGCCTAGCGCCCCTCTCTGAGGTATGAGGATCAGGGTTTGGCATGCTGGCACTGCCCCTCAAGGCCCTGCATGTCACCTCTGCCACCTCCTCGGGAAGGGCCAGCCCCTGAGCCTGCTTAACTGACCATCACCTCATGTTTCCCAGGTAGTATGCTGAGGGACCCGCAGCAGAACATGCGGACCCCGCACCCCGCAGTGCTGGGCACATGCCGAGCAGCTGCAGCAGGACGGAAAACCCGCCGTCCTCGGCCAGCGGACGGTTCTGCATCAGTCTGGACTGCGGCTTCGTGTCACTGGAGGCTCACCTGCTTTGTCCTCGGCCCCGCCTGCGTCTAACTTCTGCCCTCTGTCGTTTTCCATCGTGGAGCACAGCGGGTTATTAGTAGGGGCATAAGCTGGACTGTCCTTGGGGTGCCGGGCCCGGCTCAGGGGGCAGGGGCTCCTGGGGCCCGGGACCTCGGCCCTCCCCAGCAGGAGGGGAGATGGCGGGGAGGGGAGCCCAGGCGAGCATTCTGGAAGAAGCTCGTGTGTAACCCTGTCCTATGACAAAAAGGGCACCCCGGCCCCCCTTACACAGGCGAACTTTTCCTCCGTCGTCGTGGTGGGTCACAGCTAGGGACGCTCCGCGCCCCCTCACCTTGACCCCACTTCCGGGGCGGCCGCTTCGCGCCGGTCAAGTGCTCACGACGGACGACCCTTTTTATAAAAGGCGGAGGTGGAGAATGCGGGCATCGATCCCGCTACCTCTCGCATGCTAAGCGAGCGCTCTACCATTTGAGCTAATTCCCCGGCTGGGGCCTGCTCCTTCCGCCGGCGCACATTGGGGCGCACATCCCCACCGGCTTCCGCGCCGCCTCCGCCCGCCCGGCGGCCGGGCGTCTCGCCCCCCTATTGGTTCCCTTGCGGCACCGGACTCCACGGCCATCATTGGTTTGGCTCGATTTAGTTTTAAAAAGCATTGGCCACTCGGATTGGTGGTCCGAAGCGTCCGTCAAGTGGAGGCCCTGCTGTTGCTACGGCGTAGAGGGGCTCAGCCGGGATTCTCCCGGTTTCTGATTTGTTTCTCAGACTCCGGGGATCCTTCAGGTCCATGGGAAATGAATGCGCCCCCCGCGATTGACTGACGAGGCCTGCGAGCCAATCGCAGTGAAGGCAAGGGAGCCGCTGGGCGTCCCAATAGGTTGCAGGGAGCGGGAGAGGAAAGCCAATGAGCATGGAGCTGGGGGCGGGGACAGGGCTGCGATTGGCTGCGAGGCGGCCGGAGGGAGGGCGGGCGGAACTCAAGGCCTGCTTGATACGTCCGCCATTTTGGGCGCTTCGCTGATGGTGTCGGTGAGCGCGTTTCCCGCCTGAGCGCAACTAGCGGCGGGTCGTGGGCACCTCCAGGTAACGGGGGAGGGGGGCGGCGGCGCGGACCGCGGCGTGGGGTACGCGGGGCGCGCGGGCGAGGCCAAAAAAAA